GTTCGATACGGGTGCGGACGCCCTCCTGGCAGGGCGAGACCGTGGCACGGACGCGAGCCTCGGCGGGAGCGAGGCTGGGATGACCCAAGGTGAGCCAGTTCAACGCAATAACGGAATACTGCGCGAGCGTCCGCGCCGCGCGCCGCAGTCTCCAGCGCTCCCTGCGCCTCGCCGACAAGCCGTCAGGCGGGGGACCAAGAGGAGGAGCAGGCGGGCACGGCCAAGGATCGCGGGGAGGCGGCCCCAAAAGGTACGGACCGTCCCTGTCCATTGCACGCATAGATGAGCGGGAGAAAGAACCAAGAGAACATCGAGCACCCATCCCAACCTGGGACAGCGCTGCTGCCCAGTGGGTGATATCAATGTTCGCGCCTGGGAACAGGCGCAGCAAGGCAGACAAGTCAGCGACGAATGGCGCGACTTTGGCAAGAGCAGCAGAGGTGCCTGAAGGAGAGCAAGCACCAGCAGGGACACCAACCTCAGGGGCTGCAGGCCCCCTGGAGGGCGCGCTCGACTGAGGCAAGCGTCGGCCAAAATGGCCCGAGGGATCCGAGAAGCGGTTCGGAGCAGAGCGAAGGGCGTGGTGGCGGAACGTACTCCTCCCTGCGGGGCCGCAACAGCATCGCTGGAAGAGCGCATTCCTACCCTCACGCCCTCGCTGTGCCCAAACGCGCCTAGCAACCGCAACAGCGTCGGTGCAGTCTGTGTGCGGCGGCGTACCCCGGCCCCCCGCAGGCCCACCCTTCCAGGTGGCGGGCGCCGAAGGCGCCTTCAGTCTTTCTTGGGCACCGCCTTCGGCGCCTTGGAAGCACCCTGGGTCTTGAAGGGCTGCTTCGCAACCTTGGGCTGCTTGGGCTGGTGAGGAGGGTGCTTGGGGAGCGCGACGGCGCGCTCGGCGTCGAGACGCGCCCGAAATGCTTGCAGCTCCTTCACGTATTCGCCCTGCGCCGACAGCCAACGAGGGTCCACCAGAGGTGAAAACGGGGTCTGGGCCTCGCGCTCCGTGTGAAGACTCGTCACGCGACACGGGGGAGGCTCCAGTCCTGTGAGGAACCAGGCGGCTTCGAGATAGCCGCGGTCCCCCGCCAGTTGGTCGATGAACATGCACTGACACGTCAGTAGAGTCTGGACTCTCTCGGGATTGCCCTCTTCGCAGGCCCGCCACAGCTCGGCGCTGAGAAAGGCGAAATGCGTCAGCAACTCGTGCGTCGTCGGCTGAGCCCCCAACGGACTGTGCTCCCGAAAGTACTGATGCATGGCCATGGGGGTCACGGCGCTGACTTCCACGCCTAGGACGCGAGCCAGATTCTCCTTCATCAGCCCTCGCACGTCGGGGCCGTGCTGTATCAGCGCTTGCTGCCACTCGCGCCTCCGAGCAATGCCCCCCATCTGAGCCGATACGGGCGCGGGCTCGCCCGAGCTCGCGGGCGGAGATTGAGCTGAGTCGCTCAGGGTCCCCAGCAGCGGATGGACGGTTGGACGATGGCCCCGCCCCTGCTGCAGAAGGAGGGACTGGTGCAGGCACTGTAGCATGAGGCTGAAGTCCGTCGGATTGGCCGTATGGGGCGGCTCTAACCCGTCGGCGCCGCCCGCCTCGGCAAAGCCGTCGACCGCAGCGGGATGGGCTAACCCAGGTGGCGGTGGAGGGCCCATCGTTCCGAAGCCCGACGAAGGGGCCCGAGGGACAGCCAGAGAGCGCGCCCTTTCCCACGCCGAGACCAGCGCGGAGGTCGGACCCTTGGGACGCGCGGAGACCCGCTGCGGGGCCACGGGCGCGTGGGACAGGACGGCCTCGATCCCCGCAGGGTCCAGCCCGAGGCGCACCGCTTCGTCGCTGAAGAGCTGAGGCACCTCGGGCCGATCGCTCCGAGCAGGCGGCTCGGGGCCCAGCGATTCGGGTCGGCCGACCATCGTGGAGGCTGCGTGGGCTGCAAGCAAAGCGCGCATTTCGGCAGCTACTTCGGCACGGGTCATAGGAGCCCCGTCGTCCAGAGCCGCCGCAGGGGCACCAGGGGCGATCGAAGCGGGGCCCGCGACCCGTGGCGGCGCGGCTGCGCCCGTGCGCTTCGGGGGCGGGCCGCGAGGCGCTCCAGCGTCCGCGGGAGATCGCGCACTTGGGGCCGGGCGTTCGGCGTCCTCGTCGGCCGCGAACCCTTCGGGCTCTTCCATCTCGTCGGCAGAGTGATAGGGAGTAGCCCGATCGGCCCCTGGGAGCGGCTCCTCCCCTGCGGTAGGCGGGGCGCCGTGCAAGCGTGCGTAGCCCTCGCGAAGCACCCGAACCCCTGAAGGGTGTGGCCAATAGACGCGGCCCCGCACCTCGGCGAAGGGGACGATGGCCGCGTCCTCGCCGACCTCTAGAGGGTAAAGCGACTCGAGCTCGAGCTCTGCAACCTCGATATCCACGACGAGGACGGAGGCAGTAGTGGCGAGCGGCCGCGAAGCGGCCCCCTGGAGCTGGGCGTCCACTAGCTGGAAGGGGCCTATCATCCCCGCAAAACCCCCCGCCTCGGCAGCCTCGAGCTCCGCCGTAGAGCGAAAGGCGCCAGGCAGGGCCAGGAGGATGCCCCCTTCTCGAGACGCGAGGGGGATAGCTGCCCAGCTGGTGTCGCCGTCGTCTAAACGCCAACGTGCGTAGCCGCGAGCCGTGGGAGCTGCGAATGGGTAGAGCTCGGGCCATAGAGGCCCTCCGCCAACTGGTGGCAGCTCGGCCATCAATGGGCGCAGCCGAGGGAGCTGCTCCCTGAATGCTGGGCGTCTGCCCGCACGAGCGCTCAGGGCCGCGGCGGAACCCCGTAAGCCAGCGCTCGCGCCGCACGGCGGTCCTGCTCAAAGGGGGCAGGAACCGCTCCGCGCGGCCAGGCGGAGGCCCTGAGCCTCCGCCACGCGTACGGGCCCAGCAGCCCGATGCAGCAGCCTGCGCAGGCGCTGCACGCGGCCGTCACCCCAAGGAGGGCGACGACCGTGCTGAGCAGCCAGGGCGAAACCCCGCCGCTCAGATCCACCGCCAGCCCGAGGCACACGGTGGGGCAGGCGGAACCCGCCGAAGGGAGGGGGCAGAAAGCCCCCTCACCCTCGGACGAGTCCGCCTGCTGGATGGACCAGGCCGGCGCAGGAGGCCCTGGGTCCTGAAGAACAGAGAAAGGGGCAGACACGAGCCGCTCGTAGAGCGCGGCCCGCAGCCCCCTGAAGAAGATCTCCCCAGCGCCTCCGAGAGCCGCTTGTGCGAGCGCCTGCATAAGGCGTCCGCACGCGCGGCCGACGGGGGGGCACTTGGGCTGAGAAGCTGCGGAGACAGCAGGAGCTTGCTCACAGAGAATAGAAGAAGCATCATCATCATCATCATCATCATCATCATCATCATCCTCATCACCAGCACCATCACAATCACCATCATCAACACCATCAGCATTACCATTACCATCACCATCACCATCACCATTGCCATCATCATCACCATCAACATTACCATTACCATTACCATCACCATCATCACCCCATCATCATCAGCATCATCATCATCATCAGCAGCATCATCATCACCAGCACCATCACAATCACCATCGCCATCATCATCACCATCAACATTACCATTACCATCACTATCACCATCTCCATCACACTCACCGTCACCATCACCACCATCATCACCATCACGGTCATCATCACCATCACGGTCATCATCACCATCACCATCGCCATCACCATCGCAACACCAACAGCATCGCAATCTTCATCATCAACATCAGCATCAACATCGGCATCAGCATCAGCATCAGCATCATCAACATCATGATCATCATCATGACCATCATCATCATCATCATCATCATCATCATCATGATCGTCATCGTCATCGTCATCACCATCATCGCCGTCGTCGCCGTCGTCATCGTCGTCATCATCACCGTCACCATCACCATCTCCATCACCACCATCATCATCATCATCATCATCATCATCATCATCATCATCATCACCACCGTCATCATCATCAGCAGCAGGAGCATCACCATCATCCTCGCAGTAATTGAAGCCTCATCGTTATAACCACCATAATTCCTGCCATCCTGATCGGTATTACTGCAATCACACGGTTCACTCATACCCAACAGAAACACGCAAACAGAATTCGGATGCACCTTTTCCCTTGCCGGAATGGGACCCACACACAACATCTGGAAAAGATCAGCTGCTCGGTGTTGCTTGGCTCCGAAGGCATCTGGCTTAAGATGACAAGTGCGGCCAGAGCGAGGCCCCAGAAGCTCAACACAGCCCCGAGAGGGTCCCGAATACGGCCACCAGAGAGGCCAATGACAGCCCGAGAGGGCCCCAAGACGGCCGAGAGGACGGCCCCGCGAGAACGCAGGAGAGACCCCGAGAACTGCTCAGAAGGGGGCCCAAGACGGCCAGCAGGAGCCCCAGGCGGCCCAGGCGGGCCCGAGGTCATCCCAAGAGGGCTAAAAGCATGCAGGGTGCAGAATTGAAACCTGCAGGAGCTTTCGAGTACAGGGGACCTGAGAGGAGCCCTCAAGAGATGGCCCAAGCACCAAATGAAAGGGGCCACAAGACAGCCCCAGAGGGTAAAATGATAACCAGGAGGAGGACGATGAAGATGACCTTCAAAGGGGGGAGGGGAGGACGAGGAGGGGAAGGAAGAATACAGGAGAGAAGGATAGGGGGGACGAGGAGGAAGAGTTTATCTTGGGGGAGGACGCGAAATTCCCTGTCACACTGATGCCTCTGAAGGGGGAGTGGGGGAGCCGCACAGCTAGCGATGATAGCATAAGAACCACCGCCTCGTCTCCACTCCCTCCCAGGGGAAGGAGGAGGGGAAGGAGGAGGAGGAGGAGGAGGAGGAGGAGAAGGAGGAGGAGGAGGAGGAGGAGGAGGAGGAGAAGAGGGAGGAGGAGGAGGAGGAGGAGGAGGAGGAGGAGGAGGAGGATACGCATGACGGTGAGAGATGGCGAGGAGGAAGGGACGAAGAGAGGGCCCCGCTCTTCAAGCCCCTCGGGCGGCGCACACCCACACAGGCTCCCCGCGGTGAACGAGAACTCCGCACAGTACATCCGCTTCCCCGGCGCCACGGCCCGCACCTCCCGCAGGCGCAGGCCCTCCGGCACCGCGCCCAGCACCTCCGCGAGCTCCGCGCGGACGTCCTCCTCCCCGCGGGCGAAGCAGTAGCAGTGGGCGCAGAACACCACCTCCGGGCACGGAAGACAGCGGGCCCCGAGGGAAGAAGGGCTCTGGACCCCGGGGGGGCCTTCCCCCGGGGCCAGCGCTTCGCCCCGGGATCGTGCTTGGTTGACGGCCCCAGGGCCCGCGGCCGCGTGGAGGGCCCCTTGAGGGCCCCAGACCTCCTCGCGCTGTGAAAAAATCACGACGGGCGGTTTTCCCATATTTTCGGCCTCCAGGGGCCCTTCCTGGGCCTCGGGGCCGTCCAAAAACGACCCAGGACGAAAAACCGGTCTCGGCGAAGGGGTCCAGGTCGACCTCTGGGGGTCGACGTCGTGAAACAATCACGGCGTCGGGGGTCTGGGGCCCGAGAGCGTCGAGAAGCTCGCCGGGCCCCGCTTCCCTCGGGACCCGCTTCCTCCGCGGCGAGCCTCGGCGCCCTCGACGGCAAGGGCGCCACCCCGCGCGGGCGGCCAGGTGCCCGCCGCCGCGCGGGCAGCCCGCACGGCCCCGCCGAAGATCTGCAGGGCCACCTCGGGGAGGTTCATCACCAGGTGCACCCGCGGCGCTGGCGGCGCTGCGCCCCCGGGCCGGCGCGGCCCGGGCGCGCTGAGCAGCCCCTGGAGCACCTCCTGGGCGTCCGCCGAGGAGACGCCCGCCAGCTCCACCCCGTTCCGTCTGGGCGCTGCCGGGAGCGGTCCCGGCCCAGGGGGTGCCCCCAGCTGTGGCGGCGTCGTGTTTCGGAGCCAGCCTGAGGCCCTCTGGGCCTCGCGTGAGGGGGGCTCTGGGGGTGACCCGAGCTCTGGCTCCCCGGGAATCCTGGGGGCACCCTGCCCAGACCCCCGCCGCCATGCCTTGCTCACAACGTGGGCCCTCCAGGGAGGTCTGCTGGACCCCTTCCCCGAGCTTGGCTCCTCGTCCCGAGTGGCTCTTCGACGGGCCCGGGGCCTGGCGAGGGCTCCCAGAGGCCAGAACCTGCGGAACACCTCCGCCTCGAGCTGCTCGAGACGTCCCATGTCTGTTTGGGCCAGGGCCGCCCGTGGCAGCGCCGGGGTCAGGCTCGCGTTGTGCCGGATGGCGGCCACGGCGGCGGGGTTCAGGTCGTTCGCGAAGACGCGGCAGCCCTTCCGCGCACACAGCAGGGCAAGGGCCCCGACGCCGGCGCAGAGGTCGTGCACGACGTCCCCGGGCGCCACCTGAGCGACGGAAAAAAACTATAGTCTTACGCAAAAAGACTTGCCCAGGCCTCCCGCGTCTCGAGAAACTCGAGGCGGAGGATCTCAACTTGTCTGGCCTCTGGGGGCTCTCGCCGGGCCCTGGGACCGTCAAAAAAGACTCGGGATGAAGAGCCTGCTCCCAGGGAATGGGTCTGGACCTTCTGGGGCCTTGTTACGAAAGACCCATGACGTCGGGGGCATGAGTAGCGACCTTCCACCGTGGCTTACGCGCGTCGCCAGCGTGGCACACCGCGTGGAGAACAGGGCGCTCACGCGCGACCTTATGGGGGCAGCCTGCGCGCGAATGTCCGCGCGAGGTCGACCTCGCCTTCTTGCGTTGCCCACCTGGTCCAGCACGACGAGCCGCTCCCTGCCCAGGCGCGTGTTCCAATACGCAGGGCAGCTACAACTGACCCTGAGGCCAGGCGCTGCACTATTTCCACACCGGGAAATTCCCGGTGTGGAAATAGTGCAGCGCCGCGTCGCACGACGTGACGTCACCCCCACCGCGGCGCGACACGCACAGCCCCCAATCAACGCGAGGCGTCTTCGTCCTCAGCAACGGTTGGCGCCCCCGACAATGAGCACCAGCAAATCCTCTTGCGCCGACTTGGGAACAGAACGCGTTGGTGGACCGTCGAACTAGGAGTGCGCCGCGACCGCCAAAATGGCTGCTGGTGCACGGGCGTCGGAAACCTATATATCGCCAGAGCAATTCCGAAGTCGCGCCATATGTCGCCCACGCACTCTGGGAGGCCGGGATTCGGGACAGAGACGCAAACCAGGGCCGGCGCACGGGCGACGCTCGGGCGACGCACTGAACGAAAACTTGAAGGGGGGGGGTGGTCGCTTCACTGGGCCTTAACACCGGGAATGATGGCCTTGCTTTATCGGGGGTGGACAGACGCCCCAACAGTGACACGTCGATTAGTGAATTGTCCGCTTTCGGTTTTCGAGAGGGCGCCGTGGCCGTTATTTTCCAGGCTTGCACCCGCCAGGTTTGGGCCTCAGGTCGTTTTCACTAAACCACGTTTTGCTAAAGGGGGGTCTGTCCATCCCCGACTTCTGGGCCCGACCCTCACGGCTCGACCCAGCTCGGACCACCCGCGCAGCAAGATGGGGCCGGGGGCTCTGCCTTTCTGCGCTGCTGCAGCTTCTTTCCGCAGCGCCGGCTCTCCGGGTGTACGGGGACAGCGAGGCTCGGCCTCGTCCTCCTCCTCCTCCTCGTCCTCGCCTCTGTCCCTGAGACGAAGCCCAGACCAGGACACACACACACACACACACACATCGAGCCAGAACCAATCGGGGGTCTCTGAGATCCGGCGCTTCCAGAGCGTTCGGGAGCGCTCTGAAAGCGTTTCGGGCCGCTCTGGAACGATCGTTCCTGGTCCCGGGCCCGCGCGACCGCCCGCCCGACTCCCGGCCCTGCCTCTCGAGAGGGCGGGTCTCACTATACCCCATGTGGTCTTGGCTGCCCTGGGATACGCGAGCCGGAAATCGAACTCCAGAGTCAGGCCGCTCTCCCGCAGGGAGACGCGCGTGTCCTCCCGCCCCGCGACGACCTCCATGTCGAACGTCCGGAACTCGCCCGACAGCTGCCCGACCTTCCGACCAGCCATAACTGGAGGAGCTGTGGTCCTTACCCCCCTGGGGGAACCAATCGCATCGACGATCTCTCGAGAGGGGTGTCGAAATCGATGGGTCCCTCATGGGGGGTAAGGACCACAGCTCCCCCAGTTGTGGCTGGCCCGACCTTGGTGACCACGGTCTCCACGCTCCGGACCTTGTCCAGCAGCACCTGGCCGATCACGTGCCGGTGCGGCATCTGCTCGTCCAGCAGGTTGAAGTGCGCGACGTGACCCACGACCTCTGGGGAAGCCGGAAGGTACCGATGCCGCTACTCCCCAGACCTCCGCCGGGGTGCGTTCTGACCAGAATTTCGAGGCGAATCCGGCGGCGGCGACGAGGGCCGCCGAGGAGGCCTCAGAAAGGGGAAAACGGGGCAAGGGTAGAGGCTTGGGTACAGTACTTTGTCCTCCTCCGAGACCTCGTAGCTGCACGGCGGCGCCACGCCTGCCGGCAGCAGGCGCCGCAGCGCGTCTCGGTAGCCCACGCCCTCGTACCCCAGGCGCAGCGAGTGGGGCACCAGCTCGCCGCGGGCCTCCGCGACGAGGGCGGCCGCCTCGGGCGGCAGCTCGGAGGGCCCCAGGCCCGGCCGCAGCAGCAGCAGCGCCGAGGCAGGCCCCCCGCCATCCTGCGAGGGCCCCTCCTCGGAGGAGGAACAGGTACCGATGTACAGTCAACCCGCGGAGAAAGGATGCACGATAAGGATGCAAAGGCCTTGGAAAGCCATGTTGACGCTTTTCGAGCGGAACGCCGCGAAATACCGAAGGATGCAAGGGTACCCTAACGCACCCCCATCCTTGCCGAACTGGCGCCTGGGGCACAAGCAAAGCCAACGCAACGATGCAAGGGTAACCTAGGACGAGTTGCTCATCCTTACTCCGCGGGTTGACTGTACCGCTGCCCCTGCCCAGGTCTCGTCTTTTTTGGGCCTCCTGCAGGAGGCCCTCGTCGCCACCGCCGGAGTCTCCCGAAAGGTCTGGTCAGAACGAACCCTCGGGAGAGGTCTGTGGAGGACACAAGAAACCCTCCTCAGGAAACCCAACCCTGAGACCCCAGGACGTCCATTGATTTTTGTGGTGGGAACGTCACACTTTACATAGCAAAGCCATCGAAACCCAAGAAACACAGGGCACCCTGGAGGCAGGCAGGGTGTTTCTTGGCATGGGTTTACACTGTAGCGGCATCGGTACCTTGTCATTCCCTCCCCTCCTGCACCACGTTCCGGACCAGGCGCGCCCCTGTCCCGGACCTCCGCCTCTGCTTCTTCCTCGGGGGCATTGCCAGGGGGGTGTCGCGCCACTAAGGGGGGAGGTCGCCACATCCTCGAGGAAATCGCCATCTCGCCGAGGAAGCAGACCCCCAAGAACACTCCAGAGCCTTCCAAAACGACCCCCAGCGCCCACAAACCTCCTCGAGCTTCGATCCTTTGAGGCCTCCCAAATGGGGTCCGAGTACATGGGGTCGGAAGATCGCGCCGCATCGGCAATAGCTCGCCGATGCATCAGCGATGCATCAGCGATGCATCGGCGACGCCGGCGATGCATCGGCGACGTCGGATTGCCGATACATCGCCGATGCGGCGCGGTCCTCCGACCCCATCTGCTCGGACCCCGCTTGGAGGCCCAGCCTCGATTTCCAGGAGGAACGGGCGACCCCCCCTACGGTCAGGAACTCGTGCTTGGCTTGTCGCGGCGGCGGCCCCGGCGACACGCTGCCCCCCGCAAGCGGATAGCATGTCGCTCCGCTCCGCGGGGCGGGAGCCTGGGAAACGCTCCGGACGTGGACGCTGGGGGACTGGGAAGTGGACAGCGTGTCGCGCGCCGACGCGTGGCGGGCCAGAACCGGCGGAGCGACACGCCAATCAGAAGTTCCCGACCGCAGCGGTGACCCCCAGTGGCACTGCCCTCTTCCTGGGCGTGTAGACCAGCTGCTCGAACTCTGGGGCGCGCAGCAGCCGGCCCACGCCAGCGGCCGGGAGCCGCACGGCCCACAGCTCCACGCAGGTGTCGAAGAGGGCCGGGTCGAAGACCTCGCCCTGCGGGCCCCAAGAAAAGGCGCCACCACCACAACACCACCTCCACTCCTCCTCCCTCATCTGCCCTCCTCTCCATCTCCTCTTCACCGAAGGTGGAGTGGGTGGGGGAAGTGGTGGTGGTGGTTGTGGTTGTGGTGGGGGTGGGGGTGGGGGTGGTGGTGGTGGTGGTGGTGGTGGTGGTGGTGGTGGTGGTGGTGGTGGTGGTGGTGGTGGTGGTGGTGGTGGTGGTGGTGGTGGTGGTGGTGGTGGTGGTGGTGGTGGTGGTGGTGGGTGGTGGTGGGTGGTGTTGGGTGGTGTTGTGGTGGTGGTGGTGGTGGTGGTTGGTGGTGGTGGTGGTGGTGGTGGTGGTGGTGGTGGGTTGCTGCTGCTGCTGCTGGCGGTGGTGGTGGTGGTGGTGGTGGTGCTGGCGGTGGTGCTGGTGGTGCTGGTGGTGCTGGTGGTGGTGTTATATTGTTAGGCCCCGTATCGTCCTGCGCAGCCCCCGCCGCCGCCGCCGAGGCGCCTCGCTCGGAAGCGCCCGTGCGGCTCGCGCCGCCGCGGGCCGCCGCTCGGCGCGGCGGGCGCCGCGGGCGGCCGCCAGCCGCGCGCACCTCGCCGCCCAGCAGCGAGGCCACCGCCGCCCCCGCGGCCACGGCGCCGCCGCTGCCCGCGCGCTGCTGCCCGCTGGCGCGGCGCCGGGGCGCGGGGCACGCCGCCGTGCCTGGAGGCCGCAGGCAGACGCCAGTGGGGCGGGGGGGGGGGGGCACAGGCTGGCGCTGCCTCCTGCCTCCTAGCCCCCTATCCCTCCTCCCCCCTCCCTCCTACGAGCGCATCCGTGTCGATCGAGCTGAAGCCGAGGAGTGGTGCAGACGACACCGCGCTCCACTGCACTTCGAGGGCAAGCTTTGGCCAATGTGTTTGCCCTTCGATCGAGACCACGACCATGCGTCCAAGGCGCCGTCCGCCGCCGCCTCCCTCCTGCGCCACCCATCCGCCCAGCGCCACCCACCCATACCCGTCGTGAGGTCCCAAGCGCCACCCACCCGGCCTAGCGTCCCGTTCGAGCACGCACACAGCGAAGCCGCGCGTCGCATCATCACCTCTCCTGCTGCGCTCCCCCTTCTTCCCTCCAGGAGCGCACGGGCAAACAAACAGGGTGGGCCCAGCGCGTGCGCGCGCGCGCCCAAAGCAGAAGTTCTCCTCCAGCCGCGCCCGCTCCCAGCCCACAGCCAGGCGAGGAACCACCCACAGCCAATCGGTTCGGCTCAGGGGCGCGCGCGCGCGCGGCCTGCAGAAAGAAAACGGGGAGAACGAGGAGCTCACCGCCTGACCCGCACACCCCCAGGGGCCTACGGAGGACGCGTGCGGGAGGGGGACGAGGCGCCTGCGTACCCACCAGTAGCAGTCAAGCTCTCCCTGCACCTTCTCCTCCTCCTCCTCCTCCTCCTCCTCCTGCTCCTCCTCCTCCTCCTCCTCCTCCTCCTCCTCCTCCTCCTCCTCCTCCTCCTCCTCCTCCCCCTCCTGCTCCTGACCGCCATCCTGCTTCTCCTCGACGGACATCCGTCTGTGAGACGGCCCAGGGCCTGCCCGACGACGGGGACGGGACAGGTCGGCTCGGTGTGGGCCCGCGGCGAGGTCCGTCGAGCCGCCAAGACAACCCCAGGGCCCCCCAAAGAATACCTCGGTGGGCCCCAGAGTTCCCACCCCCCGAATCGGGGAACAAATCATGGCATAAATGTACACGTCGTTCAGTTCTAATCGTGCTCATTTCTAATTCTGCTCGTTTCTAATTGTTCCTAATCCTCCTCCTCCTCCTCCTTCCTCCTCCTCCTCCTCCTCCTCCTTCCCTCCTCCTCCTCCTCCTCCTCCTCCTCCTGCTCCTCCTCCTCCTCCCCCTCCTGCTCCTGACCGCCATCCTGCTTCTCCTCGACCGACATCCGTCTCTGAGACGGCCCAGGGCGTGCCCGACGACGGGGACGGCGGCGAGGTCCGTCGGGCCGCCAAGACAGCCCCAGGGCCCCCCAAGAATACCTCGGCGGGCCCCAGGGTTCCCACCCCCCAAATCGGGGAACACATCATGGCATAAACGCACACGTCGTTCATTTCTGAATCGTGCTCCTTTCTAAGTCTGCTCGCCTCTGATGGTTCCTGGCCCCCCAGTGGCCAGGAAGAGGCCCAGGATGGAAGAATTAGAAAGGAAAGGATCTTGGCCCCCTAAAAAATCAAAGAACCCTCGAAGAATTAGAAAGGAAAGGATCTTGGCCCCCTAAAAAATGAAAGAACTGTCGAATAATTCGAGACGAACCAGGTTTACACGTTCGGAGGTCCGCGCGGGCTTGGTGGGTCGGCGCTGGAGCCCCCTGGCGGCGCCTCTGGCGCCGCCCCGGGCGCGCTCCGCGCGCCAGGGAGGCGGCCCAGCGCCGATCCAAGAAATCCGCGCGGACCTGGGAGGCCTAGAAATTGGCACCAACACCAACACAGGGGGTTGCCTCCACAGGGGGAAGATGATCCTCGATTTCGGTGTTGGTGGCAATATTTCGGCCACCTTGGAAGCCAGAACATTACCACCATCACCGAGATCGGGATCGTCTTCCCTCTGTGGAGACACACCGCCGATCTTGGTGTTGGTGTCAATCTCTAGGACTGCGAGGACCTGCGAAAGTTTCAACTTGTGCCATGGTCTGTTCCTCGACAAAAGGGCCCCAGAGGCAGCAGGCATTGCAGGAAGCCGCCCCGCCCCCGGCGTGTCTGCAGTGGCTTCCACAGCGGCTGGGGCAGCACGCCATCCGGCAGCTTGGCCAAGCTTCGGCCCAGCGCCTGTCCACGCACCGGCCTTGCCGGCAAGGAAGTGGGCGGCGGTGACTCCGTTGGATGTGCTGTCGATCCGTCGCCCTCAAGTGGTTCAGCACGGGTGGCCTCCACGGCACGGGCCCTCCGAGCCCTGCGGCCGTTTGCTCAGTCCGCCACCGTGCCTAGGGCTGTGTGGTAGGGTTTATGTTTTCAGCGTTCCCTGCATGCATCGCCCCCTGTATCAATGCTCCCTGCATACATCGCCCTCCCTCCTTAGGCCACGATCCCTCATAAAAAAGTCGAGCTCCGCGCGTCCGAGGCCACGATCCCTTGTTAGAAACGATAGGTCCGCGTCCGACGGCCCATGCAGGCAACAAAGGCCATCAAGATGGTCCAAGATGTCTTGAAGGCGGCCCAAGATGGACCCAAGGCGGCCCAATATGGCCTCAAGACGGCCGGAGATACTTCAAAGGGGGCCCACAGGGCCAACTGAGGACGTCCCCCCACCAGGGTCCGAAGAAGCCAACATGATATAACATTACTGCTTCCTCTCAATGTTTCGAATGATTTCGCATGCTCGCCTTTTCGGGCTTCCGTCAGCTCAAGGCGGCCCAAGAAACCTCCACGGTGGCCCCAAGACGACCGAAGAGGCCCCCAAGAGGGTCCCAAGATGGCCCAAGAGGTCCCATGAAGGCCCAAGATGCATCCAAGACGGCCCCAAGGCGGCCGGGGCCTCCCATGGCACCGAAGACGGCCTTCGAAGCCATTTCGATGGCGACAGACGGCACCACGACGGCCCCCAGGCAGCCTCCGTACGGCCCAGATGGCCCAAGACGGCCCAAGAGAGCCCCAAGCCTGCGTAAGATGGCCCAAAGACGGTCCAAGAGGGCCCAAAGGGACACCCAAGACTGCCTCACATGAGGCAAAAACAGCCCCAAGACGGCCCAAATAAGTTCCCTCAGGGCTCCTCAAATAGTGAATACGACAGGTGTCACATGTGACTGTCTTCATCTTCCTCCTGCTCCTCCTCCTCCTCCTGCTGCTCCTCCTCCTCCTCCTTCTCCCCTTCCTCCTCATCGTCATCATCATCACCATCATCATCACCACCATTACCATCAGAGGATTGGACGGCCCTCCCAGAGCAGACTACGACTACGACTACTACTACTACTACTACTACTACTACTACTACTACTACTACGACTACTACTACTACTACTACTACTACTACTTACTACTACTACTACTACTACTACTACTACTACTACTACTACTACTACTACTACTACTACTACTACTACTACTACTACTACTACTACTACTACTACTACTACTACTACTACTACTACTACTACTACTACTACTACTACTACTACTACTACTACTACTACTACTACTACTACTACTACTACTACTACTACTACTACTACTACTACTACTACTACTACTACTACTTACTACTACTACTACTACTACTACTACTACTACTTACTACTACTACTACTACTACCACTACTACTACTACTACTACTACTACTACTACTACGACTACTACTACTACGACTACTACTACTACTACTACTACTACTACTATTACTACTACTAATACTACTACTACTACTACTACTACTACTACTACTCCTTCTCCTTCTCCTTCTCCTCCTCCTCCTCTTCCTCCTCATCGTCATCATCATCACCATCATCATCACCACCATTACCATCACCTTCAACATTACCATCACCATCACTATCATCACCAGAACCTTCGAAATCACCATCATCGTCAATCATCGTCACCACCACCACCATCATCATCAACATCATCATCGTCGTCATTATCATCATCATCGTTATTAACATCATCATCGTCACCAGCATCATCAACATTATCATCGCCAGTTTCACCATCATCGTCATCAACATCACCACCATCACCACCATCTGATGCATATGCATCTCCATACTCTTCTTCTGCAGCATAATTCGCCGGCCCAACGGGCCAGAGGCGTGCTAAGATCTCTGGTAACTACTTAACAATATTTCTAGTTCGCGCGCGCGGGGCGGCCCCTGGGGGTCCACCGGCGAAAAGTACCCCGACCGCAGCCCGGGAAGGTCTACTCAGAGATGGTTTTCCTCCTGGGTACGGCCTCTCAGGCCCCCGAGAGCGCGCCAAAGGGCCCCAAGAGGCCCCCAAGACTGCCCAAGAGGCCCCCGAGACGCCCAAAGGACGCTCCAAGACGCCGAAGATGATCCCAAGACGGCCCAAGAAGCTGCCAAGACGCTCCAAGTGGCCTCCAAGAGGCCTCACAAGAGCGCCCCGGGAGGCCAACATCATCAATTTTACGATGGTTTTGGAAGGACTTTGGCCTTGTCGCATTTTCGGCTTTCCGATGCTCCAAGACGGCCCAAGAGGCCCCCAAGAGCGCACGAAGACGGCTCAAGAGGCCCCCAAGAAGGCCCCCAGAGAGCCCAAAGGGGCCCCGAGACGCCCCTAGAGACGCCCAAGACGGCCCAAGAGAGCCCCAAGACAGCCCCAAGAGGGGCCCAAGATGGGGACCACGAACCGAAACCTCAAGCCTTCCGCCCCAAGAGGGCCCCAGGAGGCCCCGAGAGGCCCCCAAGATGGCCCAAGCTGCCGCCAAGAGGCCCCCAAGAGACCCCAGGAGGCTCCAAGGAGGCTCAAAAGAGGCCCTACAAGGCTTCAAAATTGTCTCCCAGGCGCCCCCGAACGGCCTCTCAACAGACCCCAGGGCCTCCCAAAGAAGCATCTGGACGACGGCCCTGTTTGGCCCCAAGAGTGCCACAAGATGCCATCGAGAGGCTTCCTCCTCCGCCCTTTTCTCTTCCTCCTCCTCCTCCTCCTCCTCCTCCTCATATTTATCTTCATCCTCCTCCGTTCCTTCTCATCCTCTTCTCCTCCTCCACTCCCCCTCCCCATCCTCATCTTCCTCCTTCCGGCGGCGCCGAAATGGCCCCGAGCCCGCGTCGAAGCAGTAGCGATCATGCAATACGGGCCGGCGGAGTGAGCGAAGCGATTGCATTAACATCATCATCACCAGCATCATCATCACCATCATCATCACCACCCCATCATCATCACCTTCACCATTACAACCACCATCATCACCACCATTACCATTACCATTACCATCACCACCACCACCATCATCATCATCATCATCATCAGCATCATCATCATCATCAGCATCAGCATCAGCATCAGCATCATCATCATCAGCATCATCATCATCATCATTATCATCATCACCATCATCATCAGTATCAGCATCACCATCATCATCTTCATCATCAGCATCATCATCATCATCACCATTAGCATCATCACCATCATCACGACTCGATCCCCTCGAACAATCGCCGCCCAGAATGCTACTCCAGATTTCGTAATAAAGGGAGGGGGGTCTCATTTCGGGGGGGGTCCCTTCCAGGCTATCTTGGAGGGCCTGGGGGGTCTGGGGACGATGTTCTGGAGGGCTCTCCCACGGGGGGAGGTCTGAAATGGCTTGTCTTGGAGGGTCCAGACCCCCTCCCTTTTATTACGAAATCTGGAGTAGGCTGGCTCGGTGGCGGGACAGGCAGCCGGACAGCCTTCGGCGCAGCATGGCCCCCGAGTTTGCGCAAAAAGGTTCCAACTCGTCCCAAAGGTCTCCCCAAATGGCCCAGATTCGCTGCAGACCGTCTCCAGGATTGTCCACGGGGCGCCAAACAAGACGTCAAGACGGCCGAAGAGGCCCTAAGGCTTCTAGTTCCCAGTCTATTCAACCCAAGATGGCCCCAAGAGGGCCAAGCGGAGGCTCGAAGAGAGCCCCAAGACGGCCCACGACTGCCTCAGGACGCCCCGACGATGACGACCCAAGACTGCCCTCCAAAGGTTCCAATATTGCATGACGGAGACAGCAAATATTGCCCCAGAAGGCCTTGCATTTCGGCCAACGATTACCAGGCTCCAGCACAACTCAGGAGGGACCCAAGCGAGCCCCCAAGCGGGTGGTCTGATTTTCTCTTCCATGTGGGACATTGCCGACCATGCTCCCCGAATTGCATATGTGACGGCTGGGTGAATAAACAGTCCGGTAGACTCGCAAATGCCTGACCCAATATTTCGCCACGCAAGCGCTTCCCAAAAGGCAAGAGGCGACGATACTTCGCTGGAAGCGTCTTGGGCACGAGGTCCGCCGCTGTGCTTTGCCCCGGCTGGTATTTGTCAGGCCCTCTGCTTTTTGTTCGCCTTGCTCATCGCAAAATGACGGCTGACCGCCGATTCGAGGCCCGCACGCACGAAGCCACCGGCAACATCAGGCACGGCCTCTCAGGGCACGTGGCGGTGCCCGTCCTCCCCGCCGCCCTGCCTGGCCCCTAGGAGGAGGAGGAGGAGGAGGAGGAGGAGGAGGAGGAGGAGGAGGAGGAGGAGGAGGAGGAGGAGGAGGAGGACGAGGAGCCCCCCGACTGCTCGACGGCCAGCCCTCCTTGCACCGACACCGGGGGCGCACCTTCGGAGACGCCTGAAGCCCTCGACCTCCCAACTCCGCGCGGCGCGCGCCCCGCGGTGCGCGGCGCGCGGCCACCCTCGCGCCCCCGCGCCCCGACGAAGGGCACCCGACGAAGGGCACCCGACGAAGGGCACCTTCGCGCCCCTGCGCCCTCGCGCCGCCCGCCCCGACGAAGGGCACCTCGCTCTGACCCGCACCCGCGGCTCGCGGCGCGCCGCGACTCTCTGCGCGCCCCCCGCGGGAGCAGCCCGGGAGACGGGCCGCCTCCCGAGCCCGCGCCGCACGCCGGCGGGCGCCCCCACGCCGCAGAGCGTGCGAGCATGCGGCGCCCTCGGCACGGCCGGCCCTCCGCCGCCCCCCCCCCCCCACTTGTGGGCCCTGGTGGCGGCGACTTGGAGGGACGCGGCATGCAGCGGCGCACCGCTGGCGGGCGGGGGGGGAGGAGGGGGAGGAGTAGGAGGAGGAGGAGGAGGAGGAGGAGGGAGGAGGAGGAGGAGGAGGAGGAGGAGGAGGAGGAGGAGGAGGAGGAGGAGAGGAGGAGGAGGAGGAGGGGGAGGAAGAGGAGGGGGAGGAGGAGGAGGAGGAGGAGGAGGAGGAGGAGGAGGAGGAGGAGGAGGCGGAGGAGGAGGAGGAGGCGGAGGAGGAGGAGGAGGAGGAGGAGGAGGAGTTGCGGGTATTGCGACTGTGTCGGTTACGATTACATCTTGCTGATCGGTTGGCTCGAACGGCCTGCTCGGCTTTGCTGTAAGCCTTAGTCCAGATCACCTGACGAATGTTGTGCAGGTAATCTCTACGATTACCATCGGCACGCAAAAGAGATGGCTCCCCGAGCTTGGCCAACTTTTGGGCCCTCGGATGCGACGGATGCGGAGAAGGAGGAGGAGGCACAGCGGGCGGAAGAGTGCTCGCCAAGACAGCGGACGATGGCATAGACTATTCCATTGATCGCCCCCCTGCCCTGACTCCTGCCCCTCTCCGCGGCATGCTCGTGAGCCTCATGCCCAAATAGATCGCCTGAGCCTGCTCGCGATCCTCCCTGGGCGAGATACTGCGGGAAGCAGAGCGGCCCGGCGGGGGCAGCAAGCGGTGCCCGAGGAAGAAATTCTGCGCGCCAAGACGCCGTAGCAAGACCTTTGATGGCTGGGGCGACCAACTCCCACAACGGCTTGCGCGATGATGATTGATGAGAAAAGTTGTCGGGATAATCGCACCCTGGGAGGCACCGCGCATGTCGCTGCTTAAACTTATAGGTGTTGGTCTTCGGGACTATTCTGATCCAGCCTGGAGCCCCACAGACCTCTCTCTCCTTCAGAAACTTCTTCCCGCCGTTTGGCCATTCCCTACTTTTCTGCGCTTTCCTCTTGGGTGTTTCTTCCCCTTCGCCTGAGCATTAGGCAAGGGTGGAGGGGTGCGAGGGCAGCAATGTGCTTGCGACACGCCTACCCGTAGCTCGAAGCTCGAAGTAGGAGTACGCGGAGCTGGAGAAGGACGAGGAGGAGGATGAGTACTAGGAGCGGAATAAGGACGAGGAGGAGGAGGAAAACGAGGGGGAGGACGGCCAGGAGAAAAAGCGGGAGGACGAGAACGATAACGAGAAGAGGGAAAAGGATGAAGAGGAGGGCGCAAGGAATGAAGGAAGGTTGAGTAGACTGACGAGGGGGAGGGCATGCATGAAGAGAAAGATGACGAGGATAAGCAGAAGAGGGAGGACGAGGACAATGAGGACGAGGCAGATGGTAAGGAGGAGGAGGAGCAGGAGGAGGACGACGACGAGGACGAGGAGGAGGACCAGCAGGAGTCAACCATCAACCCTGCGCTCAGAAGCCAAATACTGAGCGGCGAGAGTCCCATGGGCCACCTGCGCCATGTGCTCGACGGGCATCGAGAATCCACCATGGCTTGCAACGCTCGCCGTATACACTGTCTACCCGTGTCTCGCAGCATTACAGTAGGTGCATACGATAAGACATCGTACCATAAGGAATCCAGGTGCGCACTCGACGTCGGTCTTTGAGCTTCCTAGGGTGCTCAAGTGCTTCTCTGGGTCACAGGCGCAATCGGGGGATAACACACATTCCGCGGGGCACCCAGCAGGCAGGCTGGTTTCTTATGGGATGTGCCTACTGGATGGTGGGAGCTATGCTTCATCATGCTGCCGATTTGAGTTAGGGTTTTCTCACTCGCAGGAATGCGGTCCTCAGGGAACGTTCGAGAAACGGACTCACTCGAACTCAAACTCAAAGAAATCCGACTCACTCGAAGTCATCTTCGAAAGTAGCGTGCTTGCCGTGATCTGGCACCCAAGCTCGGCGCTCAATGTCCCATAACATGGGAGCCTCCGTTGCGTTGGCCGAGACTTCTGTCTTCACAAGCACATCCTTGACCCATGTCCACTGTCCGTTGACAATAGAGTTCCACTTCCCCACATCTCTGGGGCACGTTGCATCAACTTGAGCAAACGCGTACGGGCTGTTGTTCTGGAAGTCCGTACCAATCATCCACAATACTTGCTTCTGCACGTAATAGAGGTAGATAGGTTGACCCTCCGATCCAGCCTTCACGTAGACCGGCTTGCCGCCGTTGTACTTCGTGGGCTCGATGCTGCTCTTCATGAACACGCCCGTAGCGGCTTCTGGGAACGGCGCTGCCCCAGTGATCCGCATCTGAGACGGGCAGTTCTTGCACGACTCGTCGTCCTTCTGCGGGTCGAAAGGGGTGTGGCAGCACTCCCCAGTGCCCTTGAGCCAGCCCTGCAAATTCTTCGACAGGGTCTTCTTGTGCGTGCGGATGTCACAGTAATACTGGGACCATGACTTGCACGACCCGAAGTTCGTGTTCTTGCAGGTGGTCTCTGGAGACTCCGGCCGGCGCACCATCGCCAGTAGCCGCCTCTTGGCGGCGGTCGGCTTGGGGTGCCCCGTGAAGTGCGCAACGACCACCCCGGCGCTGCACTTATGCGAGCACTCTTCTGCCATGCCTGGTTGAATACCCATGATATCCACACAATTGAACTCCCGGTCCAGTTCCATGATCTTACCAGCGTACGCAGCGTTGATGATGTTCTGGTCCAAGATCTGCTCGCGCTTACGGGTAACGACCAGCTCGAGCATCTGGGTGAAGATGTTCACACTGGGACGGAATAGCATCACCCCGCTATTATACTCGTCCTTGCAGCCATCGGGAGCCATGGCGATGTGGCCCTTCTTTAACCTGGTCCCGGTCAACAATTCCTTGATCCGGGGGCTGAACACGTAGGTGTCGGCATCAAAGAAGAGCACCCTGCCAAATCCGAGCCTGAAGATGTTGATCTTTTCAAAACTATCATGCCACCGCTTCATGAACTCCTGGTTGCAATCTTGTTGGCAATACTCGTCCTCCCAATTCTCCACGAACACCAGCTGCCAACCAGCGTTTGTGAGCTGTTTCTGGTGCTCCGGCTTCATGCCCTCGATGGCAATGGCCACTAGGGGATAGCCTGGGGCGTGCTTCTTCAAGGAATGTGCGAGCATCACCGCCGCGTCGAGGTACTCCGTTTTCTTCTGCCCGGCGAATGTGACGAGCGCGGTGAGATCCTCTGGCTTCCCGTCAAGCTGCAAATGATTCACCGAGAGGTTCTTGGCATTCGCCGCGACCCACGGGTTGGAAAATGCCTTGCCATCGCTCTTGCTCCCCACATCCGACTTCTTCACGGCAAAGCGGAAATTGTTCTTGGTGGCCAGCACGGTGATCCAGCCGGCGGGCTCCGCGATGCGCGCTCGCCGCCTGCCGTCGTTCAGCTCCGCGGCCACCTCCAGGACGGTCACCTCCTGCTGCACCGCCACCTCCCCCACCTTCTCGCTCGTGCGGGCGTAGTCCTTGCTCACGGGCAGCGACTTCAGGGTGGGCCCAGCGGAGACGACGCGGTAGGTCCCGGGGCCGTCGTCCTCCAGCTGATCCGCCTTCATCGTCTTGCTGTCCAGGCGGCCACTGAGCGCATCTGTGCTCGGGTCGACAAGCGCAAGCACCGCGGCAACGCGCAGAATCCGCATCTCGAGGGTCGACGAGAATATGCAAGCCCTTTGAGAATAGAGTGCGGTAGTTCGAACCCTTGAGCCAGCGCCGCTGGCGCCAGACGACTTGAGCCGAAACGGCTACGGATTTATGGCTGCGTCTCTTGGCATGTCATTCAGCGTTGCATCATGTCGCTTCAGTTCGACCGATCATGGTTTCTTCACCTGGCAGATCTCCACTTACGCGCAAGATGCGAGCCCATCCTGACCCTGTCTGAAATACACTTCGGGCCCCAAGTGCACTTAGGGGCCCCAAGTGCCACATTATTTGCGCTTTTGGCTGGCCCTCACCTCTGGACTCCTGAATTCTTCTAGGTGGCGTTGTGCCAATGGCGCTGATTGCGTCGTGCCTCGTGTTTGACGGCGGCCTCTTGGGCAAGGGACAGGGTCGGTCAAGATCCCCTTAAGTACCCCATGTTGCATTTGCCCAGGCCAGAGCCGAATAAACAATATGAGCTTCCCAGTCGAATTGACTGCCACACCTCAATGTAGCGCTAGTACGCTGTCTTGCAGAGCGAACGGGGTGTGGACCACCGTGTGTGCATGTGCGTGTGGCTCCCCATGCGTGTGGAACCCGATGCGTGTAGACCACCATGTGTGTACGTGTGTGTATGTGGAGTGCATGTGTGTATGTGTGTATCTGTGTGTATGAGCGTGCGTGTGTGTGTGTGTATGTGGTGTATGTGTGTGCGTATGTTTGTATGTGTGTGTGCGTGCGTGCGTGCGTGCTTGCGTGAGTGCGTGCGTGTGGAACCACACCCATGTGCGTCGAACCACGTGCGTATGAAACCGCATGGTTGTGGAGTCCCATGTGGGAGACCCCCCATACGTTCGGAACTTCATTCGCGTGGAACCTAACGTGCGTGAAACCCCGTGTTTGGAACCTCATATGGATGGACCCCCCTGGGCGGGGAACCCCGAATGTCTGAAACCTCCTGCGTGGGGGATCCCGTGTGCATGTAGAACCACCTGCGTGCGGAGCACCATGTGTGTGTGTGGAGTGGAACCACGCGCGTGTGGAACCACCACGCGCGTGTGTGTGTGTACATGTGTGTACGTGTGTGTGAGTGCGTGTGTGCGTGTGTGTGTGTGTGTGCGCGTGCGGGAACCTACGTACGCGTGTGGAACACCATGGGTGCGGAACACAATGTGTGTGTGGGGGTCAGTGCATGTGTGCGGAACATCATGTATGTGGAATCCGATGAATGTGTGTGCGTGTGTGCGCATATGAATGTGTACGTGTTTGTTTGTGCGTATGCGTGTGCGTGCGCGCGTGTGTGTGTGTGTGTGTGTGCCTGTGCGCGTGTGTGTGTGTGTGTGTACGTGAGTGTACGTGAGTGTGTGTGTGTGTGTGTGTGTGTATGTGTCTGTGTGTGTTTGCGCGTGCGTGCATATGTGTGCCTACGTGTTTGTGTATGTGTGTGGGAACCAACGCGCGTGCATCCCAATATGTGCATGTGCTTATACAATTCCATGGTACGGAACCCCATGAGCGTGGAACACCCTGTGTGTGGAACCCGACGCATATGTGCGGAACACTGTGTGTGTGGAGGCTGGTGCATGTGTGTGTGCGCGTGTTTGTGCATTTGTGTGTGGAACCCAAAGCGCGTACATCTACATGTTTGTTTGTATGTATAACGTTCCATAGTATGGAACCTCACGTGTGCGTGTGTGTGTGTGTGTGCGTGTGTGTGTGTGGGTGTCTGTGTGTGTGTGTGAGATCCCATGTGTGCGTGTGTAGAACCACGTTTATGTGGAACCCTTATGCTTGTGGAGCCCCATGTGCCTGGAACCCCAAGCGTGTGTAATGAATCCCACGTTTGTAGAACCCCACTGTGTGGAATCCCATGGGTGCGGAAACTCGTGTGCATGTTCGTGTGTGGAGCCCCGTGTGTGAGAACCTCGTGAACCCTATGTGTGTGGAACCCTCATGTTTGTAGAATTCCGTATGTCTTGGACTCTATGCGTGTGAAACCAAAAATGTGAGGAACACTTTTGTGTATGGAGCCCCGCGTTTGTGGAAAACCACGCTTATGTGTGGAACTCCATGTGTGCGCAATCCGATGTGCGTAGAGCCACCGCATGTGGAACGAAAAAAAGAGTGCGGACCCTCCACACACCCCGCGCGCGTGTGTGTGTGTCTGTCTGTCTGTCTGTCTGTCTGTCTGTCTGTCTGTCTCTGTCTCTGTCTCTGTCTCTGTCTCTGTCTCTGTCTGTCTGTCTGTCTGTCTGTCTGTCTGTCTCTGTCTGTCTGTCTGTCTGTCTGTCTGTCTGTCTGTGTGTGCTTGTCTGGTCAACCCTGGTTCCTACGCTGTCTTTGTTCTCAAACCTGAGTGGCTGCCGTTGCCGCTTCCTTGCTGCGCGTCGCTTGTTGCATCAGCTTGGCACTGTCGCACTGCTTCGTCTTTCCCTTTCCCCTCTTTCCCTCTTTCCCTCTTTCCCCTGTCTGTCCCCTCATGGCCGCCCCCCGGTCAGAGTCGCTGGCGGACCCCATATGCGTGGATCCAGCTTCTCCCCGCTGCGTCTGCCATGCTGGTATGCGCGCTTGCTCGACCTGTTCGATGCCGCGCCGCCGCGCGCGTGGCCGCGATGCCAACAAGTCTGGGTGCTTGTGTGCGTTTGTATCTATATATATATATATATATATATGTATGTACGAACGCTCAGGCGTTGGCCTTTGCTTGGGCGAGCGTGCATTGGCCACCGAAGCTATGTACATGAGTACTCAGGCGTTGGCCTCTGCTTGGGCGAGCGTCCATTGCCTCCTGAAGTCATGTACATGAATACTCAGGCATTGGCCTCCGCTTGGGCGAACGTGCATTGGCTGCCGAAACCATTGTTATTCTTGCCGTTCGCATGGCGGGCCAATGCCCACTGTGCACGGGCCAATCTGCTTCGCAAGGGCTTTTCCGGCCAGGTTGCGTCGCGCCCCGGCGCTCCCTCGGTGTGCACTCCGCGGCACCAGCCCTGGCTGCTGGCTGCCTCGGCCTCGTGCCTCCTCTCCCCCCCCCCCTCCGCTGCCCCTGCTTCGGCTGCCGACCGTCTCTGCGCATGCACTGCCCGCCGCTGCTGCTGCCCCTCTTGCGCCGGTCGCGCATCGGATCGCAGCCGCATGCCATGCCGCGCCCGAGCCCTTTCCCTTGGCCCCTGTAGTCCCCATGGCCTCCTCGCGCTCTCCCCATGCCCACCTACCTTCTTTTTTCCTTCTCAGGCTCATTGTCCCCCTGCTGATCTTCATTCTTGCTACGCGTTGGATCGATCGGTTCTTCGAGCGGCAGACGCGGTCTTGCACCCTGGATCGTCACCGCTGCAGGAGCCGTGGAGCAACACGAGCAGAGCAAATTCGATGTAGCGAGCGTTGAGATGGTGATGGCCAAGGGTCAGCAGTTCTCGTCGTGATCGACGATCCGTTTTCCTCCTCTGATTACCGAAGATAGGGGAGGATGATGACGAGAGGGAAGAAGAGGAGGAGGAGGCAGTCGACTCCAGGGAGCCAGGAGGCGCGAGGCCAACGGCATCATTAACCTGCAGGACGCTTCGCGTAGCCTGCGAACGGGGCGCACAGCTGTGGCAACGGTGGCTTCCGCCCAGTCGCCAGTCAGAGGGTACGTCGACGTGCGCCGACTCCTCCGGGGCGAGCCGTGGCACCTGCCCCAACCGCTTGCCGACTGTGCTCAGTTCGAGCTGGACAGCAGCCCCACGTCTGCCTCTGTGCCAGCGCACAGCTCTTCGGAGGCGTCCGCCACCAGAGAGCCCGCTCCAGCAGTGCGCCTCGCGCCCGCGATGCAGCCACCGAGGACGAAGAGCGGCGCGAGGCCGAAGACCGCCCACTGCCACTGCCACACCTCGCCTGTCCACAGCAACTCGTGCAAGTGGCGCTCGCGTCTGGCCATTGGCACCCGGGAGCTCCCTGGAGGTTTAGGTTTCTGCACGATGGGGTGAGTCGCAGAGTCATTCGCACGGTGGCCACACGGCTCGGGGCAATCTGCGTAGAAGAACTGCCGGCAGAGCAGCTGGACATCCTCGAAGGAGGAGCGCGGCGTGAGTCCTGGATATCTGTCGGGGTGCGTCAGGATGGCCTCGTCCATCGCCTGCTTCACGTGCTGGTAGCAATCGCTGCCGGGCAACGGCTTGCCGCACTCCCCGCGGGGCCGAGGGTGGTCGGCAAAGAACCGGTACATGACTTGGTTGGCATCGATAGCAAGCGATGTGCTGCCGGCCTCCTTGTCATACCCAAAGTGCGATCCTGGCCAAGTATGTCCTGCCCCCGCCATCCGCAGCAGCCTCACGTCGGCCCCATCGGCACATTTCGTGTGGCTGATCGTCACTACCCCTGCCGCCTGCGACCGGGAGCTCTCCTCGCACCCGTTGAAGCGCGCCCACCGCCGCACCGCGGCATCCACAGACGAGTGCCAGTAGCTAGGGTCCCCAGATCCCCTGATGGGATTGACGGGGTCGTCGGTGCCGTGGAACGCGATGATGGGCATGGGCCGCGTCGCGTTGTTGGGCTCTGGGAAGCGCACGCCGCCGACCGCCGCCACGCCCGCGAGGAAGCTGGACAGCTGCGACGCCAGCCGCGAGCAGAAGCGAGCCCCCCTGGAGAAGCCGACGCACCTGACGTCGGCGAGGTCGATGGGCAGGCGTCTGCCCTGGGCAACCTTCGGGCCGGGCGAAAGGGGGGGATAGCAAAGGGGGTTTTGAGAATCAGCTCGCTATCGCTGATTTTCCCGGCGCCTCCCGGCGCCAGAGGCGGATACGTATCGAGGAATGGGCCCCTCGGTGGGGCCGGAACCAGCTGCATGCAGCAGATTTCGTACCCCCCCTTTCCCAATCCCCCCTTTCGTCTGGCCCGATACCTCCCGAAGAACCGCCCTCGTGTACTCGACGTCGTCGGGCAGGCTGGGGTCCTCAACCTGGGAGTGCAGCGCAACGTTGAGCATGCGCCGGAGCAGAAACAGCGACGCGAACATGAGCTTTCGGAGGTGCGTGCGGATGCCTCGGATCGGCGCCGGAGCCCCTCCCTGGCTCGCGCAGCGCGCCGGGGGCGGCACCAGAGGCGCCGCGAGATGCGAAAAAAGGTGCGGGCTGAGGCGGCTGAAGGGGCGGATCAGAGATCCCAAATCCCCAATCCCAGAGATCCGATGTCGTGATTTTTTCAATACGGGGTCCCCGGAAGTTTCGACCCATTCCCCAGGACCGGTTTTTCATTCTGAGTCGTTTTTTGACGGCCCCGAGGCCCGGCGAGGGCCCCTAGGGGCCGAAATTTGAGAGAAATCTCCGTCTTGATTTTTTCAATACGTTGGATCTCTGGGATCGAGGGCCGCGCCGGAGAGGGCTCCAGGGCGCCAGTCCGAGCACTCCGTGCGGACCTCCGAACGTCTGCGGTCGGGAACTCTCTTGCCTACCGCGCGGCCACGGTGGCCCCGGCGACACGCCATGCCGTGCGAGCGGAAAGCGAGCCTCCTCCTCCTCCTCCTCCTCCTCCTCCTCCTCCTCCTGCTCCTCCTCCTCCTCCTCCTCCTCTGCTCCTCCCTCCTGCTCCTCCTCCTCCTCCTCCTCCTCCTCCTCCTCTCCTCCTCCTCCTCCTCCTCCTCCTCCTCCTCCTCCTCCTGCTCCTCCTCCTCCTCCTCCTCCTCCTCCTCCTCCTCCTCCTCCTCCTCCTCCTCCTCCTCCTCCTCCTCCTCCGGGGCGTGGGCGCCTGGGGGCCGGGCCGTGGACAGCAGGCGCCGCCGCGCCGAGGCGCGGTGGGCCAGCAGCGGCGGCGCGGCACGCCGAGCCGACGTTCCCGACCGTGCGTGCAGGCCTCCCGGCGGGGTCACAGTATAGGTGGTGCCGGGGCAGCGCGCCGCATCGCCAATGCATCGCCGATGCATCGGCGACGTCGGCGATGCCTCGGCGCCATCGGCGTGGAGGAGCTCTGGCTCCACATCCCGGCCGCATATGGTCGATGCGTCGTCGACCCGGAGCGATCCTTCGACCCCACCTGCTCGGACCCCACCTGGGAGGCCCAGGACATGCTTACGGCGTCTTTTCTCCTCCGAATGCGGTCGATCCCCTCGAGGGCCGCGAAGGCGACGCCGCGCTCCTCCGCGAGCGCGAGCAGGCCAGTCTGCGCCAGCAG